GAGACTCTCGCCGCCGCGTACTCCTTTCCCCTCAAATCCCTAACCCTAGGCTTCGATCCCTCCATTTCATCTACTCCTCTCCCTTGCCAAATCCTAGGTGTCGCCCCTGTCCTCCAAAACCCTCACCTTGCCTTTGATCACCGCCCGCTAGAGGCTCCCTCCTCTCCTCTCCGCCTCTGACCCCCCAAAAGCCCTAATCCTCCTGTAAAACCCCGTAAATTTGAAAATATTGTGAAATTTATAATAAATGGTTTTTATTATGTTTGACATTGTTCTGAGGTGAATGAGTATGATAATAATTGATTTGAGATCGATTACGAACATATAAATACATAAATATGTGAGTATATACAAATGTACACATAAACCTATAGGCCGATCAACTTTCGGGCCGGTCGACCGACGAGGGGCATCAGTAGACTGATGAACTCAGATTTCTGAGTTCCAGTTTCAGGTAAGGTTTGTTTTGAATCGGGTTTGAGTATATAAATACATGTTTTTGGAGTTCCTTCCTCTCTTTTATCAACATCTAAGAACCCTAGCAACCTCCCTCTCCCCTCAAAACCCTAGACCCTATTTTGGTGAAATTTTTGAGAACTTTGTGAAGAAAATCCCAAGAGGAGGACGAGATCCGCGGCGTTAGTGTTGGAGGATCATGCTCATGCATGTTTGGGAGTTTTAGAACGACTTGTTGAGGCGAGTTTCATCTTCTCCAATCTCATCCCTGTTTTGTTTTGGTTTTATTTGGGTTTTATTGATTTTCAAAATCTAGTTTATATATAAAGATTGCTCTTTTTAACCGTATGATAAAAAGATTTGATCTTTTTTAGTTAAAAATATATAATACAGATTTTTTCTAACTTTGTTTAATTTTTGGATTTGATCAAACACGAGATTTGCTAAGTTACACATTTTCATGGTGATTTCATCAACAAAATCATGTTACCGTTGTTAGAATTTCCTCAAGCTTGTAAATTTTGATTTCATGTAGCAAAGTGAACCATAATCATATTAAATAAGATGTTATATATGTTTTATTTTATACAAATTTTTGATTCTTGATGACTTGTAAAGAGAACTTGCATTTTAGTATAAAATCAGACTTTTGCTCTGATCGGTCGACCGATTAAGGAAATCGGTCGATCGATCTGTTGTTTGAAGGCTGGACTCTTGTTCTGCTCGGTCACTCGGTGGTATCGGTCGACCGAACAAGACGGTTTGAGCATGCATGTTTGTGCACGTCGTCGGTCAACCGACAGGATAATTCGGTCGACCAATAGAAGCTGTTTTGCCTATATTGTTTCTTTCTCATGCATATTTAATTGCAAGCATGAAGTACGAGTCACACGTCGATTCACGTGCGTAGGTTACGAGAGTACATGCATTAGAGTTTGAGCATGCACGAGCGTTTGAAAGTATGTAATTCTATATTTTGAATTGTCATGTTAGAGAATGACTCATATTGCATCTCATGAAAGTTTCGGATGCTTGAGTGGGTTAGTTGGTATACCGTAATGAGACCGCGGTAGACTACACTCAGGGTGGTTAGTTGCTATACTGTAATGAGACTGTAGTAGACTACACTCCGTTGTGCATCATTGTATTCTGGAATAGGGTGATATGCCTATTTTCGCAGGGCGATTGAGTAAGGTGTTGGGTCCTTTTGTTTTGATAATGATTAACAAATAATTTATAACTAATGTTGTTTATCTAGTGTTTGTGTTTTGTATTTATTCTAGGTAAATAATATGTTGGATGATGGAATTCAAGTTGAAGATCCATGTTCAATCTTCATCAGCAAGTTTGCCAAGAAGAGCTTATTGAAGATCAAAATCAAGCTTGGGTAATTTAGTTTATGTTTTTATATTATGTGTGTTAGTACTTTAAGCTCAATCATATGCACACATACACATTTTGGTTTTCATATATATATATATATATATATATATATTCATGTTTTCGTTTTATAGTTTTCAAGTTTATACAAAAATAAATTTGTGAAAATATTAAATTATTTATTTATGAACTTCATAACAATATTTTATATCAATTCATTAAGTCTATAAGAATATTTTACAAAAGTTTCAATATTGTGTTTATGTCAAATGATAAAAACATGTATGTTAGTTTTCATGTTTTTAGACATATTTGAAAAATGATTAGTTTTCACTATTGAGAAGTGCAACTCCAAAAATTCTTTTTTTAACATGTTCATTTACATGTTTATAATGATTTTCCAAAGTTTTATATTTTTTAGAATT